GGATTGGACGTCCGCCTTCGTGGCCCGCTTCAAGCGCATCATCCCCTCCTGGACAAACGGGACGACGGTGAGGGGCAGCTTCCGGCCGAAGAACGCCTCAAACGGCGACATCCAGCCCAGGTTGGCCTTCGTCGCGGAGCGGTTGAAGCAGGTGGATGCCCACAGCGCCGACGCGAGCCACAGGCGATGTCCGTTGACGCCGACGCTGGGGATGGAGAGGAGGTCGACGTGGTCCATGGTGAGGATGTGGCGGCGCGTGGCGTGGCCCCCCTTCATGGCGCGCCGTATGGCGCTCTCGACCACCGCGTTTTCCTTGAGGGTGTCGGGGGCGGTGTGCTCGCGCCAAATGCCAGCAGCGTCGCAGAACGAGGTGAACGCGGAGCCGGTGAACTCGCCGCCGTTGTCCATGCGGAAACACCCCAGAGTGCCCATGCCGTTCATGTCGGCGAGGAACCGCTGGACGAACTTCAGGGTGTCGCTCTTTGCCCGCATCCCGTACCCCCGTTGCCACCGCGATGCGCTGTCCACGAACATGATCAGGTACCGGGAGCCGTCCAGCGCGTCAGAGAACGGGCCCGTGAGGTCGATGTGGACTTTGCCGAACGGTACCGCCGCGCGGGTGCCACGCCGCGGCACCGGTGCCCGCCTGCCCTTCGCCTCCACGCAGCCCACACATAGCTGCATCGCCCCCACCAGTCGTACGCCCTGCTGCTTGGCCGTTTCACGCATCAAAAATTCGTTCACATGGCCGGTGGAGGCATGGAACAAATTAATGTCAATGGTCGGCGTGGATTGTCCTACCGAAAACGGGGAAGCACCGGAGGCGATAATCGCCAAGGCATGCGAGAGGGAGGGGGGAGCTACGGTTTGCTGCTCACTGCATCCAGCAACGAAACCCTTCAGGCAATCCAATTCATCACTCATCACGGCAAAGGCGAAGGGAGGGGGTGTTGCAGAGTCGCAAACATCAAGCGCATCCGGGAAAAGAATAACCCTGTGGGACCGAGTCTATTCCATCGATCAGGCCTACATCAAGGAATATGCTCATATCCATGAGAGGCAAATAGTCCTGGGGGGTGAGGGGGTTGATCACTTCTTCACGAAAATTGCTCGGGTCAACGACGGAGGGAGAAGCAATCTCAGACGACGCTACGGCAGCTGTGATTACAGGCTGGTAGTCGGCAATAATCGTTGGCACTACATCTACGTCGATTGGCGGGAATGCACAACGCGGGATCACTACACCGGACGTGGTGGATGGGACGCTCGAAGTCCCACTCGCAGACGAAGGTACGACACCGGCAGCGACTCCACCGGCGGACTGGAAGCTCGGACTCGCACCGGCACTCGGACGTGCAACACCGGCAGCGGCACCACCGGCGGACTGGAAGCTCGGATTCGCACTCGAACTCGAAGGTACAACACCGGCAGCGACTCCAGCGGTGGACGGGAAGCTCGTACTCGCATGTGTGCCCGCTCCTGTGTTTGGGGGGAAAGGGGGGTTCGCGACAACAAGGCCTGTCCCAACGCTAGGCGGGGGAGCTTGGGAAGACACACGAGGGAGGGCATCTGGACATTTGCACGCAAAAATCGGTCTCGCCCGAAGGGCCAGGCATGTGAATGCCATGTTGATGCTACCAACACATTGCACGCGCAGATAGGCACCATTCCCTACTTGGATGAACTCTTTTCCTGCTGGGATCGGCTTCATGTCGAACATGTTTTCGCTACTGCTGACAAACGTGTTGCTTGCGCCGCTGTCGGCCCAAAATTGCTCTCTACCAATCTGCGAAGGGCGACTCTGAACAGACAAAGCGAAACCACTACCATTCTCACGCGCTACCACACGTGGAAAGATCTCGCCTTGTGACACAAAACGTGTCTTGAGGAAGTGAAGATGCCCAGGAGATCCGCCTGCATCGGGAGGAGGCGAATGGTACGGGGAATGGGTCGAGTGCTGCTGCGGCTGCGGCTGCTGCTGGAACGACGGCGGTGGCGGAGGCTGCGGCGGTGGCTGCTGCTGCTGCTACTGGTAGTACGTTGTCGGAGGCGGGTAATCCGGCTGCTGCTGGAAGCTGTAGTCTGGCAAAGGTTGCTGATACTGTTTCTGATGCTCCCATCCCCCATACTCATTACCATACGCGGTCCCCTCATGAGGTGCGGCACCATACGGTTGACTTACATTTGCATGCCCGTACGGGGGTCGCCGCTGCTGCTGCGGTGTACGAGGGGGAGCTGGATGTCCATGATGCTGCTGTCCTCCGTAGCCGCCGTGAGGCCCGTGCCGGGGCCCACCCCCCCAGCCCCCCCCACTGCGGCTCGGCTGCTGCGGCGGCGGTTCCCGAGGTTGCCGTTGCTGCTGAGACGGCTGCTGTTGCGGGGGCTGTTGCTGTCGTTGGGGCTGCTGCTGTTGCTGAGGCAGCTGCTGTTGCTGAGGCTGCTGCTGCTTGGTCTCCTGCTTCTTCCATTGCCGACGCTGGGTGTAGCACTCCCTGTTGGCGTGCGACGAGTACGGATGATAGTCGCAGCGCCTGTCTCCGTCCGCCCTGTTGTTGCTGCTCCGACCGCCTCCATTGCCGTCCTGACCCCCGCCGTTCCCACTGGACCCATTTTGGACACGTCCGTCGCCCCGGTTCCCACCGGCAGCGACGAAAGCGTGCCCCGCACCACTCTGCTGCTCCCTCTCCCGTGCGGTCACCAGATCCTGATGGGCATCTTTCACCACCTTTTCAAGGTGCTGACGGGTCAAATTGGGGGGCGCAAGGGCACGCAAGCATAGCTTTCTCCATCTTGTACTCGGAAGACAAGTTGTACACAACGTGCAAATTGGCATCATCGTCGGGGTATGTGACGCCGTGTGAGGCTAACCTACTGCGCAAAACAGCAAATCTGCCAAACTATTCCTGCGGACTTTCACCCACTCGTATTTTTATGACATGGTATTCCGAAGTCAACCGTGTTTTTGTTGCTCTTGATCGATTATTCGGGGGGCTCAGTTGTGTGCGATGGGAGTGTAGAGCAGCTCGGCCATTACGGGCCGTAGGGGTAGGTAACGTCGTGCAGACGTGCTGGAAAACGTGTTGTATACGTGTTGTATTCATCGGGGAGGGCGTGCTTGAGCTCGTCATTCCATCACGGCATCAAGTCACGCAAACGATCAAACACCCAAAACGAATCTCCACGAATGTCCACGAATCTACCACACTCCCAAGGAAAACATAAAGAAACTTCTTGTTCCTCCGTAGTTCGTCACTGCAAATCCCGCATATGCATACGCAATACACCACCCCCATGCTATGCTACGAG